CTGGTTATTAGAGCTCATTGTCTAACCACTAGAGAATCGGTGTATTTTTTGCGGTCAAAACTGATACATATTTTTCGAGATTAAAAGTCTATTTTTCTCACTCATTGACAACCGGTTGTCGTACACGTGGTGCCCGACGGACAGCAATGTATGCCATCCCGACAGCACACGGCGTTTAGGAGTGGACAACAGCCCCACTGCGAGGCACTTATGTGACAGCAGGTGTTGTTGTCGGGACAGGTGTACCGACTGCCCGGACACACCACTCGCGTCACGTTTGTCGCCTCGAAGCCTATTAAACGCATTCTTGTGGTCAGACTGTTGTCGGTGTCTGTGGTCCCCATTTTGTTCACCTCTGCGCGGACGCACTCCTTGTGGATTAGGTCACATCGGGTGCCGTGAGGGCAACAGTGCAGGAGATCACTGCAACAGACACCTGGAGGGCGCAGACATCATAATTATGACACAGAGTACTAGCGATTAAGTGGTGATCGCAGACCTAATTGATATGGACAGCAGCCATAGGAACCGCTTTTCTCTTTACAACAGGTCTCGTACTGCAGACACGTCTGGTTCTTATCGGGACAGACACCAGAGGACTGTTGGCCTACCGTTAGTGGCAGTCGTTGTGGCGTTTGAGCGGTTAGTTCATCACAAGTGCCCTCTTTATCGTTACATTTGGTCCCATTTGGACAGCAGTGGAGACCATCGGCGCAACACTGAGCTGTTTGTGTGGACACAGAGTTATCGACAGATGATCGCCGAAGATGTGTCACTCACCCGATGCCAGCGGACAGCAGCCATAGTTGCCTGAAGACCACTTACAACACGTCATATCTGCGCGCAAGAGGTTATCATTATCACCGAAACTGATCCGTGGTGTGGCTGTCAATACAAACCATCGCCGCATTGGGTCTTCTGGTCGGGACAGAGAGCCGATTGCGTGGATGCGCTCATCCATAGGAACAGTAGGGAAATGGAGGCAATTGTCACGAAATTCATGATTAGATTTCGTGGCGAAGTGTTTGTCAATCAATGATCACTCAATCAATGGGTTATGAAATTCAAATGCAATACAAAAGTGTTTATTCATAAGGCCTGACAGTCGCAGTCCAGTTCCCCAGCCATGCACACACCTACTGAGTCTACTTTATTCTGGTATTCAATATAACAATTCTAGAGACATACCGTTCCCATGCATACAGAAAATGAATATATTTAGTGATACAATGACTGTACTGTACAATATTAAGTCACCTTGTACACAATATTCTTAATACATATAATTGAATGCAATCTATTTTCACTGAAAGCTTATTTAGAAACAAAATTATAATTACCGTAAGAAATAAAATTATAGCAAAACCCAAGAGTTGATCACATAATTGAAACATTTGATTAATGCGGATAAAATAGCGGTAATTATATAAAATGGGTTACAATTGCTCGACAATGAAATGCAAGAATTTATGCGAAAAGAAATCAATGGCAAGAATGGCTTTAAATGAGACCAAAAGGAGTCGTTTTCGCTGTATTAATACAACGACATACAGGATATGATTTATGTAACAATTAGTGAATAAATCTGCAAATGATATGCTGACAGACATACAGTACAAGACATGCACTCCTCAATGAATTATGTTTTTAACTATACATTAATTGAGTGTTTTTTAGGTAAATAATTATATAAACATTTTAATGGAAAACACAGAACTATTAAACTTGAGCCCAGAATCTAACACTAAATCTCATATTTTCTTATCAGAATTCACATAAAGTTCATGATTTGAAGTTTAAAAACTATCATTTTATTAGCTATTCATTCATTACTAATACTTAACTGTATATTATGCCCAAATCACCAAAATACCGGTAGGCCCGTATCGGTACTGACCCCTAGTATCCGGATACTCCATTTCATTGAGCGGGCGCTCGTGCTTAGGATCCCGGGGCTGGTCCGACACAGACTGAGACCGGGGGCGCTGAGGGCCCACAAACCGACTGCCGCTCTGCGCAAACTGCCTGTCCTTCAAATACTTTGCGTTCTGTCAATCCGCTGGACGCCTGGCGATCCCGATTGATGTTGCTTTGGGACAATTTGAACAGCAGTGACCCCCTTTCGGATGCCTCCTGAGACACGCCCGGGTGGACCACATACTGGTGCACATCCGGAATGTGAAGGCCTTCGTCTCTCATGCGCTGTAAATTTGGTTTGCGAGTCACCGGGTCCTGGAAACCCTAGACCAGCACCGAGTCCTGTATAGACTGAATCGGGTATCGGGGCGGCGGACCCCTCGGTAGTGCCAATCGGCCTGACGAGCCAATCGGTGGGACGATACCCCCATAAGTAGGGGTCTGACCACTGCCTCCGCTACCACTCAGTCCAACCCTTGACATCTATTGTTGAAGTCTCTGCAGACTTCTCTGGATAGCTATCGGATCCATGGTTGGTCGGCTGATCTGATTGATCTAAAATCTTTATTCATTTGGGTATAAGTCAAATAAATATCCTAATTAACAATTTATTGTATGCCATAGAAATACCAAGATTACTATACAGTACAATTTTAACTAACATAGAAAACTTTGGTCTAAAATTTTGACTCTAAATGTATTCATTCTGTATTCTGTGATATTCTGCTATTTCAACAGTTAGTAAACAATATATCCGTTTATTAAATTTATATCACATTTATAGATATATGAAATATAATTCCGTGCATTTAAATCTGGTGTTTAAAAAATCAATTTCATAAACATTGACAATTAATTAAAAAATTATTAATTAAGAAAATCTTAATTTAATCGTACGTTTGGTTTGGCAGACATTTTTATATTTAGTGCAAAACTAATAAATCTCATTTAATCCGAAAAAGAAATCTTCTGTCAAATGAGATAATGTTAATCCGTTTCCCAATCATATGTGTGACATGTCTGCTATGTATCGCAGGTATGGGTCTCTGACCACAAAAAAAATCCCAATTGTTTTATTGACATCCCATACCCCCTGAACCCATGTATAAAGCGGTCAACTGTTGGGTGAATGTGGATATAGACGAGGACGCGATGGGAGACGCGAAGCCTCAGTTTGTCCACAAGAAGGACGACAGCTGTGAGGACGACGACGACGACCATGAGATAGAGTCGGAGGCACCGGTCACTGAGGATGACTGCAAATCGGTGGCCAGTCCTAAGACCGTACATATCGTGCCCCAGAAACCCAAGTATAAGAAACTCAAGAAGACTAAGGAAGAGGGGCCGGAGAAGGAGGAGCGCCAGAACCTGCCGGCCACTGAGTGCACGGAAATACTCTTTTTGGAGCCCAAGACACACACTATGGTATGTATGGCACGGGAGGGGCAGTGGGGTGAGAGGGTGTAGTGGTTTGAAGTAAACTTTGTATTTTTAAAGAGCTAATGATTTTTAAATCAATCATTTTGTGTGCCATTTGAGCGCAGAAACAAAGTTTGATAAGTTTTCTCTAATTTAATGATTTGTTTTTGTGTCTAAATGTTAATCAACGTTATCTTGAATGCGATGACAGATCGAGACGATAACAGTGCCCGTCGACGAGCCCGACCCGACACCGCCCCCGGAGTACACATCGCCGCCGCCCATCACAGA